CTCATATTTCAAACATTCATAACTTCTTTACAATTGGTCCGATTCATTTCAAACTTTTGCCATTCTATTTCTGTTATTTTTCTGCTTTCATAATAATCAACTTATTACAAGGGTTGGATTGCCTTTTAATTGGATAAACATACATGTATTTTCCCCCTGTAATTTAAAAAGAAAGTGACTTGGTTCACTGTAATCTAAAATGAGAGGAAAACTTAGAATGACATGTCGGCCTGACTCCCATGTGCTACGGGTTCAAATAACCGGATGAAGCAAGTAATAATAATAATGGTGGCTTCTTATATGTATAGCGCTCATGTCCGTCACACCACGACACTCCAGGGGGGCGTTTCACAAAGATCTTAAGTCAAACTTAACTTTAAGTTGGACTTAAAATTTATGGAGAGCCATTTGTAGCCTTGAAATAGAATGTATTCAAGAGCAAAACATGAAATCTCCTTGATAATAGAAAATATGAATGATTTGAATCAACATTTTTTGCCTTCTAAAATAACTTTTACAAAATATTTTCATAGATGCCAACGGCTTTCCATAATTGTTAAGTCCAAATACCAGATAAGCTCAACTTAGGATCTTTGTGAAACACCCCCCTGGTACTCCAGCATCATTACCCCTCATAGCCGAGTGGCCAAATATGCAGCACTCAAGCATACCAGGGACCCATTTACATGTGGGTGGAGTCCAATACATTCATTCAGTATGTGTCCCACACATGTACATATTACAAAGAATAACAAATAGTGAATAGACGTAAGGTTATAATGAAAAAAAGTTGGATATTTGGTCTTATTCATGCTGTAGAGGAGCAATCAACTAAAATCTTTGATGTATTAATCAATGTGTGGGACAATGTATGTTGTATCACTATACAATGTACATGTACATGAATTACTCATTCAATCAAAACTCACATTAATCAACATTTGCCAGAATTGACCATTAGATATCTTTAAATTAAATGATCATAAATATAACCCAAGTCCGACCCTGCACTACAACATTTATTCTCTCTTCAGCTCAAAACTCAAGACTACATTCTTTAGAACTTGACAGTACAACATTAATACGAATCTTCTGAAGATACTGCTGAAGATACCTAACAATGCAACTTTGATGGAGAAGAGGGACGAGGTATACAATCTGCCATTCCTGTGTGTTCAGATATTCACAGATTTTTTCACATAACCACAAATGAGTGATGGTATCATTATCCCCCGAAATAGTAGCAGTTTACAACATTTTTTCATTTTCCTAAAGTGTGGCAATGATTGTGTCTGTAGAAGTGTCTGGGTTGGAATTTAGCTGCTCTTCATCATGTACAGGTATGCACCCTGTAGCTGTATGGAGTTGCAGGTTCAGCAAAGCATCAGACTTTGAATCTATTAGAGGAGTCATAGCAGGATGTAACGTCCCCTTGAGCCTATAGAAACAGCCATGCCTCTCATAGCAGTCAACATATCTATATCAATTTCTTAAACTACAAGTACAATATACAATCAGGGTGATCCACCAGAGTTTAGCTTAGCAGCAACAGCAGAGATGCCAACCTCTTGACACAAAAAAACAGACTGAGTATCCTAAAAAATCAGATTTTGGAGAGAAAAATCAGATTTTCACGAAAACTCGACACTACCAATGGCCGGTTGGCCCCGGGCCAGTAAAATTTCAGAAAAATGTAATACTGGTATGTACAGTCAAGAAAAATGTTTGCTCTTTCATCAAAAATTTTAAAGAAAATGGTAAAGCAAAGTTTTTGTTGGGGCTGCAGGGGTTTACTTGTTTATGTTTTAATGCGATTCCGTAATTTTTATGGGTATTCCAAAAATATATTTAAAAAAAAAAAAAAAAAAAAAAAAAAAAAAAAAAAAAAATTTGTTTAGTTTTTTTTGTTGTTGAAAAATCATATTTTAAGAGGTGATATCGTATTATCGTATTCCACTCTTATTATTGTACTAAATAAGATTAAATCGTACTGGTTGGCACCTCTGCAACAGGATTGAATTTGAATTGAACATGTTTTTGAAGATCAGTGACAGGTTTGAATTTTTAATGCAAGTAGGTTTGAATTTTTAATGCATGTAGGTTTGAAAATCAGCACCAGGTTAGTATTCAATGATACCCAAATCGTTTCTAAAATATTAGTTCTCAAATTTGAGTGAAAATGCTTCAAAATATACGGGTTAGATTGCACTGTAGTGAATCTAAGAATCGTAGTGAACCCAAGAACCTCGAAACCCCGAAGCAAGCTCTAGAGCCTGGCAACAAGGGGCTGTTTGCTTCTCGAGTTTTCATACATCAATTTCATACTCCTTCCTCGTTCCAATACGTGATCCAACTTCTGTTTGTGGACCGCCCAGGGGGGTGTTTCACAAGATCCTGAGTTGAACTTATCTTTAAGTTGGACTTAACAATTATGGAAAGCTGTTAGCATCTTTGAAAATATTTTGTAAAAGTTATTTTAAAAGACATAAAAATGTTTATTCAAATCAATCATTTTTTTTTTTAGGATAGGGATTTGATGTTCTGGATCTGAAATTTATAAAAAGTCTAAAATACTTCAATTTTCGCTTTTGAATTTATTTTATTTTAAGGCTACAAATGGCTCTCGATAATTTTTAATTCCAACTTAGAGATAAGTTCGACTTAGGATCTTTGTGAAACACCCCCCTGGAACTACAAAGTGAATTTCTCCTTTCTTCTGGCTACCAACATAGTCAAAACTACTGCTGCCTGCGAGCCCCATGACGTCGGGGCAAGGAAGCTGGGATCCGGCACTAAAGTCTTGATGGTGCAAAGCTTGAAAGGAAGAGTGTGTGTTTTCTCACTCCTAAGCACACTAAAGGAAATTTGTTTGTTAGTAAAGCACACCGAGAAAGCATAGTCTCACAGATTTTTAAAGTGATACCCTTTGAGAAGCTGCCGGCTAAAGACGAAAAGGGAACATGATATAATTCTCGGAAATGTCTCGGTACCTGGTTCAATTGATCATCTGTTATGATTATATCGGTCTTTCCTCTTAGTTCCAGCTGTGGTATAAAGAAATTTGGAAATTTAATCCATTGCACATTGCAGCATAATTTCACCAAGAAATTGCTCAGCTACTAAGAAGTTTCACGGGAGATGAAGATATCTTTCACACAGTAAATAAGATGAACTGCCGCAAGGAACAGTCACCACATGCTCCTTCTACACTCGATACCCAACCTTAGTACAACAAAACATTACTTCTTTCAAAAGTTAATTCACATTTTGTAATCTTATTTTACGTGACTAAATCATGTTAATGTACCGGTAATCATAATTCCTTTTCATAAGTTTCACCAGCCTTCAAGTTGCATAGATGTAGATAATGTTCATGTACATACCATGAAATTTATCATTATACAAAGTTTTGGTGCGAGGTCTCTTCCTTCTTACTTTTATTTTTTTTCTTTTTGTTGTTGATAAATGTGATTACCTCAAGCAAAGTAGTACATCAAACCATCTTAATGATGATCAAGAAAAGCTAATCACCATTATTACCATACTATTACCATCACTAACATCACCACTACTACTACCATGATTGTACCATCATCATCACCACTACCATCATTATTACCACCATAATCATCATGATCATAACAACCATCATCACCATCATCATCACCACCACCACTACCACCATCATCATCGCTAGCATCATCATCATCGTCATTATTACTGTCAGCATCAAAATCACCACCATCATCATTAACATTGATCACAATTTTCATCATCATTATCATCATCATCATCGTCATCACAACCACTACCACCATCACCGTCATCATCACTATCAGTCTAACTCGTAACACCACAAGGTGGTTTTCATCACATCTGTTTAGAAACTTGCATACATGTACATTATTTTGGCTAACTTCTCTCAGGACCTCATAATATTAGAAGAAAAATTAAATATGTTGAGAAATCATATCAAGGGTCCTCATACAGTCTGAGTGAGATGTTTACCATATTTCTTCAATCCACGATCTAATAAACATATTCAAATGATTTTCAAAGCGACAGAAATAAGCCCCATTCTAACAGGATAGTGCTAGAAATGATGACGGCACCTTCACCCCAAATGAAGCCTTTAATTAGCTCAGGATGAAACCCATTTGAATGAAGATTTAGCCAAAAATAAAACGTTGGGAGTCATTTCGGGATGCTGATACTGTTTGGCAATTCCCAATGAAAAAAATAATATATATTTTCTTTCTTTATTTCATTAGTTTTTTATTTTATTATTTGTGTGTGACAATTGATTGTGTCTTTATCATGAGAAGCAGAACACAATCTAAAACAAACCTGCCAACCTTTCAAAGTAAACATTAGGAACAGTCATTTTGCATACTTTTTACACAGATGTTTTGACAACAGAGAGAAATCTAGGATGATGGATCCATAAAATTAGTTTGATGGCCAAAAATAAGAATAATTCCTCTAAAATAGGAAGGTTGGCAACTAACTGTAAAGGCTGCATTATTTACTTTTTTATAACTTTTACAAAATACAAAGTTATCACTTGACTCTAAAATGGTTACATCCCTTCAGTGGGGATATAAAATCAAGGTAGGCCATACACAGTATCACAAAAAAATTCAGTAACCAACCATGTAGAAATGCCCCATTCTCTCCATTATTATGAGCAACCTACTACCTTGTATTCATGTGTATATCACATGAGAACCAAAAGGGCTTTAACTCGGTTTGGAATAATAAATATGAGTTAGAAGGCTCCTCTGGCTCTCAGCAGACGAAACAAAGGTTACAGCTGCACGCATAGTGATATTACACTGAATCAAAAATTTTAAAAAAGAAATGATGATGTTGCATGAATAATACAAACTATAACCAAACAATGATATATCCTCAGCAGCATCCTTATGACCAGAAAGGAAAATCATAGGAAAAGAGTGAGCGAGGAATTATGCAAATTAGAAATGCTATAGTGGACATACCTCTGACAATAGATCCTGTGCTTGTATCGCCTTGAGGACGTTCTTTTTACTCGTCTCCTGAATCTCTCCGCCTAGCATTAGCTCGTCGAGCATGAAGTAGGCCTTCTCAAAGTTGAATATGATGTCTAGCTCGCATACCTGTAATGATCAAAGCATTGCAATGAAAATGACTTATTTCTTCACAATCAGTGGACATAATTTTGAACACAAATGTCTGTAGAAACTTTCAGTGCAGTAAAATTAATAAAAATGTATTTATATGTATATAGCCCATTTTCCATATGTTCAAATGCGCTTTACAGTATGTTGTTTAAAACAGAAGAGGTGATTTTTGTATATTTTGTTATATTCCACATACTAAGAATCTTGCTCTACGATTGGTCAAAAGTAAATCACGTGATGAAAGATAGTTCGCCCATCATTGATGGGAGAAGAAAAGTTTGTTGCACTGTGTAGATAGTAGTACTATCTACACAGTGCAATACACTTTCACTGAAGATAGAAGTACTATCTACACAGTGCAACACACTTTAATTGTATACGCTGCGTATTGCTCTCCACTTTATGCGCTTTTAGTGGTAGTACACGAACTTTGGCCACGCGCGAACTAAATGGTCACACCACCATACTGCATGCACTGTACGTATCGTACACCGTTTGCTAGCTGTTAATTGATGACTTGTTGCTCTAAAATGACGGAAGAAGTGAAATGTTTCCGATGTAATTTATAAAGCAAATAATCACCTTTTGGTTTTAGGTGATGGCAAACTATCACTTCCTCGGCGATCTGAAAGTATACGCTATCTTTCCTCAGCTTCGCTTCGGAAAGATAGCTACATCCAGATCGCATCGAAAGTGATAGTTTGTCCCATCACCTTCACCAACGGTAGTTATTTGCTATATTCCTCTTTTTCAAAATGAACAGAGCCCTTTTAGAGAATGCCAGATTGCAGATTGATCTAAATTGCCAGATCACTGTCACATCGGCTGGACTATAAAAGATACTTACACTACCAAAGTATTTATCCAGAAGCTCCACGTATCTATGGATGATCTCCAGTGTCAAGAGTTCATTGTCATTCTCTTCAATGGCACAGCAGAAATAAAGACTGGCATACCTGAAACAAGAATTGGTGAATTTGAATGCAATCCGATAAAAAAAAAGGATAAAGTTACGACTTTTTCTGAAAGTTGTAATCACTATGGGTACGGGCTGTTCAAATTGGCTGAATTGGGAATATCCCTGTGATGTTGTGATGTCATGGCGGACAACTTTCCCATTTATTCAAACTCACCAAATGACTCAAATTTGATTTAAGGTCTATTCTCTTCAATAATTTTCTATCCATGATAACTTTTGAGTAGTGCCCCAAGGAAGAAAAACATAAACTAGTGATATCTTTGTACACGACAAACGAAAGTTATACGAGACTACGTCACAATCTACTGACTGAACTGTCAATGTGAGATTCCCATAGACTTAGTGATCTGATATTTCAAACATTCACAACCTCCTTATCATTGGTCCGATACATTTCGAACCTTTTCCATGCTGTTCCTATCATTTTTCTGCTTTCATACAATTGAAATTATAACAAGGGTTGAATCGTCCTTTCAATATCCAATGAATACTTACCTCTTGTACACAATTTTATAATCTCTCCACTCCAAGAAATTGCACATTTTGGGTTTTCTCGTTAGTACTGTTGCGATGAGTTCCCTTGTTATCTTTTTCTTTTGCTTTTCTAGATGCGGCGTGTACCATTTCTGCAGACGCAGCTTGCCTTGTCGGCTGAATAAGAGCATAAACTGAAGCTGGGTTGAGAGCAAGAGAAAGAGATGAAAAGTTTAGAAGAAAATCTCCTAAAATAGTAGAAAATGGTGCTGACATAGTAGTATTAAGCACACATAGGAGCATCACTATCCTGGCTGTGTAGTAAAAGCTGTGCATTTGATTCTCAACATATTTCAAACACCACTGTACAAAACTCAACTGATTTCACTCAAAATCGGTACTTTAGTGACTTAATATTGAAGACATTTTAGGTACACTCTCTCTTTAGAAATTAAGATTTAGAATATTAGGGATGATATCAGATTAAGCATTGGAGGAATTAAAAAGTCAAATGTAAAGCGCTTCATGTATGGTGGTGTGACCAAAGTTCGCTATCTCAAAAAATCGGTAAGCTAACGAAAATCTGATATCCCCAATGGAAAGAGGAACATAAAATTGCCCGGAGGTGAAATTTTCTTTAGAATTGGGTACGAAATTGTGAAAATATTGACAAAAGATTGGCAAATTTTGCAATATTTTGCGTCCGTTCCGAAAAATGATCAACTTACCGATAAGAGTCTGAAAATCTTCAATTTTGAGAGCAGATTTCCTCAAAATTGTAAGTAAAAAGTGGTACTAAATGATTGTAGGCCTATGATATCTTGCCTTGCAAATTATGATATTAGATCTACCTTATTTTTGATGGATCACACTTTTTGATAAATCAACTGTAAACCCCTGTGCGTAAAGATAGGTCTCGTTGTTTTTATGACTTTTTTAGATGCAGCGGGCACGAACGATCGGACATCAAATTTTTAGATCGCGATATCTCCGAAATCCTTCGACAATAAATTTTATAGTACAACCAATCTGTAGTAAAAACTTTGCCGTCCATTTGGTAATAATTGAAATAAATAAATATGTGTAGAATATGAGAAATCATAGTTCGAATATCACATTTTGTAATATGTTCTAAAATGTCCGCGAACTTTGGTCACCCCTTCATATAATCATACATCGTTCAACAGAGCCGAGCCAGAGCCAGAGCGCCAGCGCCAGCGCGGCAGTTCACACACAGAGACCAGCAAGGCAATGGCAATTATGACTGAGCTCCATCAGCTCAGTAGGGGCGTAACACTACACTAAAACAAAAATCGTGCATAATTTCTTACAAATACAACAGGCAAAACCTAAAATATAATGATTTCTTACCATAATACTGATTGAGGGTGTACTCTCTCTTAAAATGATTTAAAACTGGGGATGTTTTGCTCGTAACATAGTAAATTTGGCGACAATTTAGGAGCAGATTTCAGATTGCAGAGCTGTGCTAAATTATAATAATATTGACGTAGATGGCAGCCTTTGCCTAAAATTAATGAGGTAATTTTACTTCAATCGACCATCATAGAAAATCAGAAAATAAAACTGAGCGAAATAGTGTAGGCCTAACTAGAGATTTTTTTTCTTCAAAAAAGAAATGTAGGTTATTAATTCAGGAATTTCCTACGATATTGTCTATAACTTTAAACAGCTTTAAGATATAGACTTGCTGACTTTGTTCTTAATCAATGGAAGATAAAATCTTATACATCAATATTCATATTTCCCGAATCCATTTTGATTTTTGTTTTTCCTTCTTGTCAGAATATTGAGAGACTAGAAAATTTACTGAATAGCCAACATTATAAAAATAATACCGAGTTCGTTAATGCCTATCACATCCAGAAGCGGATCTAGAGGGGGGGTTGGGGGGTTGCAACCCCCCCCCCAAAAAAAATCCGGGGACCATTTTTTTAAATCTTATCTTTTTTTTTTAACTTGTAATTTTATTTTATTCTATTTCTATGTATTTACTTCATTTATTATTATTATTATTATTATTATTATAATTATTATTATTATTATTATTATTATTATTATTATTTCTTTTTGGGGGGAGGGGGGGGTTGGGCGAACAAATGTCACAGAGTCCCTTGCCCCCCCCCCCCCCCCCCCATCAGCTCTTTTGAGGACACGGGCCCCCGCCGAAGTGACAAGCTAGGCCAGCGTTGCCGATTCTCATCCCCAAAATCCCCACATTAAAAAAAAAAAAAAATTGGGGGATTGTTGAAGTCTTTGGGGATGAAAAATAAATATTTGGGAATGAAAATAATATTGAGTTTTATGAAAAACGAATTTGGGGATTTTCTGTCAAAATTTGGCAACTTTGGGGATATTTTAAGTGTCGTTTGGGTGGGGATTTTGTGAAGATTTAGCCTGGCAACGCACGCTGAGCTGGGCTGCTCATTTCCTGGATTACTTGTTCAAGTTGCTCACTTTTTTATCAGTCTGGTCTGAGTGTAGTGACAAGCAATATGGAAGCAAACAGGGCAAAGAAGTTGCGGCAATCCAGTCTCGCATCTTTTTTTACTGGAAGGTATGTTTGAATCATGCAAAAAAGTTGGCATACAGGGTAAATTACCATACATGGGGGTGTAATACGAACGTGTTCATGCACTGCTTTTTATGGTCTCCATTGTGTTAATAGATGCCAGGAAAACATCACTTACGGGGTTCAAATAAACACCCCAAAAAAAATCGGTTCGCCGCTTCGCGGCTCGTGGACGATGCTCCGCATCGTCATTATTGGTCAACCCCCCCCCTTAGCAAAAAGCTAGATCCGCCCCTGACATCCAAATGCATAAGGTTTAATGAAACCATCTCTGATAATGTAATAATTGGCAGTTAGTTTAGGCACCACCTTTTATCCAGAAAGTGCCCTTTTCGTCTTGGTGCCCCCCCCCCCCCCCCCCATTTTGGAAGACACTCCGCCGCTCCTGATGTATATCCCTTTTCTATGGTCTCCAATAGTTTGGTTTTCGAGTCTCGTTTTTCAACTCAGATTTTTTTTTAACGTTAACCTTACCTCAAAACACTTGGCGAGATACAAACAAAAACTTGGCGAGATACCAAATGATCCACTAAGAATCAACGTAGAAGTAGAAGAAAAAAGGTCTGCAGTGTTGCCAGATGGTAAAATCTTTCACCAAAAATCTTGTGATATTTTGAAAGGCTTGTTGAAATTATAAAAAAATCAACCATGTAAAAACGAATCTAAATTTTTTGATTTCGGGTACGGATTTTTTAGGGATTTGGAGGGGGAAAAAAAATGAAAATTTCTGTCATCAGATAGGGAGTTCATTTGGGCAGTGGGAGGGAACACAATATCCACCAGTGATTTTTTTTTTTTTTTACATGTGAAATTTGAGACAAATATCTAAATTGAAGTTAAACACATTTGTTTACGAATATCAGCCTATATTGGCATTGATATGGGGCATTCTTTTTATTTGGTGTATTGGGGAGTGAATTCGATTATTCTGTTGGTTATTTTTCTCATGCCGTTGTCTGTTATGCAACACTGATGCCAAAATGTCTGCGGTATTAATGCGCGCATACGCATTTGTGATGTGTCATGTGTCAACTCTCCCTCTCAGTGAGCTATGGCCACAACAATGATCGATTCATGAATCAGATTACAATTTGAAAGCAACATCATAATCTTGATTGCCGCAAAAAGTACAGTCATCCATTTTAAAGCAATTCTTTGAAAAAATCTTTTTATTCTTAATAATTTTGCGTATTCAAGTTGTAAATTCAAATGTAGATTATTATTGAAGTAGGATGAATAATTTACATTTTATATTTAGTAACCATAAATTTCTTTTAATATTAAGAATTTATATATAATTTGCATTTTTTAGTGGAAACATTACAAATCTATTGTTACAAACCTCGTAACACGAAAGATATCTTTGAGTGAGCGGCGCAAGTACGTTTCTCTAATTAATACAAAATTAATAGCACTACTAATACCCTCTGCACTGCTCCACTGAGTTTGCATTGAAAATAGCTAAATTATACATCTACAGATTGCTGAGAGCATTAAGAAAATGAGTAAAGAACTTTTTAAGCCCTCACTCTAGTGTGAAGAATAATTTGAATGCAATTTCGATACCCTTGATCGATACTAAATGAGGTAATCCCTGAAGCAGCTTTTCCAAGCTATACTGGGATGGGATGTGTTGTGACAGCAGGTGAAGGTGCAGACAACAAAAGGGTGTACAATTTCTATATACAGTAAAACAGTGACGTGCAAGTAAAAACAAAAATCATGCTGTTATGGTTTACAGCATTCTGGAACCTACAGGAGGAACCCTCTGAAGACAGGGAGGGCGGTCATCTAGAAAGTAGCAACTGTTAGGGCAGTAACTGCAGTGGCTGGTAAATGATTCCAGATGCGAATGGTCCGGGGGTTAAATGAGTACTGTTGTATAGGAGTCTATTGTTGCCTCAGGAACAGAGAGCTTGAGTGTGTGGTCTCTTCTGCTGATGTATGTAGCTTTGGTTATGAGGTGAGGAAATTGACTAGCTGGTGGTGTATTTTAATTAAGACCATGCAGGTGCTTTGTGCTAGAAGACGATGTATGTGCAGTTAATCCCATCCCAGCTGGGAAACAAGCCCTGTACCCTTTCCAGAACCCAATCAAAAATTGAATTGACGGCGATAAAACACATGCGATAGTGTGACGTCACCGAATGAACTCCCCTACATCACACATTCGGGACAAATAATGTTGGATGCCCATTGCCATTTTTATATATGGGCTTAACGTTGTTTGTTTTTTGCGGTATATAGCCAGGAGTGATATTTCCTTTATTTTGGCACTTTAAATGAGATAGACAGACTAAATAATACGTTCTACAAGTGTTTGTTTGATTTATAAATTATTTCCGTCACATTTGAGCATAGAAAATCGGAATAATAATCACATATTGTGAGGGCATGTTAGCATGTACGTGTCTTATCTGGGAGCAGGTCATTTTGCATGCTGACCTAACGACTCTTCTGGAGCAAAATAGGCGACATATTTACCTAAAATTGTCCAGATATTCATTACGAAAATGTATGATTAGACCGTCAATTTGATATTTTTTGATAAATTAAGTCCGTGGTACCAGATAAATGGGGAAATGGGAAATTGAGAGACGACCGAGAAATAATATTTATAAACCATACAGTACTACAATATATAACAGAATACAAGTAACGAAATACTGGTATGTTTATTACGTAATAAAATTAGTTTAAAGTTGGAGAGTAAGACAAAACGTTTTATATTGGTAATTTAACTGACAGGGGAAAAGGGGAATCTCAGAAAAGCTAGGCTTGCTGAGCGAGATTTCCAGTATAAATTAGGTAGGCCCTATTAGGGACTTTTAGATTTGCGTGGACTGATACGTAAGACGTCCATTCAAGGCAGTGCATTAAAAGGACGTCGACCGTAGCAATCCGCATTGTCTTCGTGCGAATCTAAAAGTCCCTATTATAGACTAGCTAGCGTGCATCAAATCCTGCACATGTCTGCTCCACACTGCTCCCAGAGAGACCAAATACGCGCCAGATCCCCGGTTCTCCCCCGCCAAGGCATCAGTCTGTCGTTGCCAGGTCGAACAAGCTCTAGGTTTTCCCACCTAGCAACCAGCAACATAAAATAGTGTACACCGCACAAACCCCGACAAAAGAAACACAGAGACCCGGCTTAGGCGACTGAACTAAAGGGCGACTTAAGGAAGACGGGATGATGAAGTTGATACCCCCCCCCCCCCCCCGGGCTTGCTTTCAACATTTCCTGTCGGATGTTTTATATATTTTTTTCTTTTAGAATAATAATCTATTTTTTTAATCAAATGACAACAATTGGTAGTCTATTATTTGCATGAGTACGTACGGATGCAATCGAGGTCACCCGTAGAAGCGGTTCTAGCCCCCCCCCCCCAAAAAAAAAAAAAAAAACAGGGAGCGGCACATGTAGAAGAACCCTCAAGCTCCTCTCCCTAGCTATCTTTAGCTAGGTTAAGTTAGTTTAGTTTGTAAGCATTTAAATGTACGCATTATTTTTATCTGACGAGTTTGTTCTTTTAGGACATACTCATAAGCTACTCACGAGGGACCTTAAATCCACAAGCCTTGCTTTCAACCAAGGTCACCTCATCTTTCTATTGTAACGCCATACTATGTTCACTTGTTATATTCATGTCATATTTGTAATGTGTGCTATGAAAGAAAGATAAATAAAACTTGAAACTTGAAACTATCTCTCCCTCTCAGTGAGCTATGGTCACAACTATGATCGATTAATAAATCATGTGACAATTTAAAGGCAAATCCTAATCTTGATCGTCACACAAAATATAGTTATGCATTGTTAAACATTTTTTTAATAATCTTTGTATATTTTAAAATTTGTTTTGTTTAAAGGTTGGAAATTAAAATGTACATTAATATTAGATTAATTTGAAAAATCTACATTTTAAATTATAAACGATTATTTGTTTCAGTATTAAACATTTATATAAAAAATGTCACAATATGTAATTTTATATTTTCTGTCACTATAATCGTGATAATTTATCTTTGAGTGAGCGACACAAGTGTGTCTCTCTGTAATAATAATTATAATAACACGAACAAATATCAACTAAAGCCTCGGTCACAAATGCCATTACGAACTGCTTCGAACGCCGTACGAACGATTTTCAGACAATGGAAATTCGGAAAGACAATGGAAAACCAGGGAGATTCGTACGAACGCATCATTCGTACGAACCTTTGTGACCTTAGCTTAAATTGTCCGATTCTAACTTATGACGTCTAACAAAAATAGCATATAATGTATAAAAAAAAAAAAACAGGCAAACCTATTAACAAGTCTACCTTTTAAACGATTATTAGAAAATAACCCTTCCCTAATATCATTGTAGCAATAGCTACAATAATATCAATACGGGTTATTATCATCATAATAATAAAGATAATAATTATTATTTGAAAAAAGTAATGACTATTATCATTCATCTGAAACAATAAAGAAAGCGAGCCTGTTTGGAACAGCGTATATTCTGCGGAGGGCCGTCGATTAGAAAGGCCGAGGAAGATGGTGATTATAGCGATTAAGTAGTTAAGATGACTTGTTGAAATCATTACAAAACCTGGGGGGTGTTTCACAAAAATCTTATGATGACAATGATATAAATAACTTTAATAATAATAATAATGATAATAATAATAAGAGTAAAGAAATACTGATGATACTAATCATAATCGTAAAGTAATACGAAATAGATACAAATATAATCTACCCCACTCTACACTTTCTTTACTTCAGTTTTCATAAACCTTCACTTGCTTTTTATATTGAATTAATTAATTTATCGCAATCAATAATTTACGGTATGTTCAGCTGCTTCATGAAAATTGAGCAACTACTTTATAAGCAACTTGAACACGACCATACCTCGCTCGAGTAATTACTAAGCCGAGACAAATCAATATCATTAACTCCTTTTTCTATTTTATGTTTAGAATATTGCATGGGAACATACAATTGGTATTCATGTACATCCCTCTTTTTATTGATGTAGATGAACAGTGACCGAGTTGAAGTAATTAAGTAAAAAGAAAAAAGGCTAAGGTTTGATGAAAAACCCAACTCGTTGTAAATTACGCCTAACCTGTACGCGGAGACATCGTTTCATAATTAGGGACTTTTAGATTTGCACAACGACAACGTGGATTGCTACGATCGACGTCCTTTTAATGCACTGCCTTGAGTGGACGTCACACGTATCAGTCCACGAAAATCTAAAAGTCGCTATTTTGTCATGCTGGTGCGTGCGGGAAGATATTCGGCCTCATTGTCCATCCTCTAAGAAATTCGAATGCATGGACAGTGGACAAAGAAGTAAATTAAAATGCATCATATAACCGTCTGCTCTTGATTCACGTTAGATGCATGATGGAGCCGCTGTGAATACATCATGTTAGATAAGATGGAATGTTTTCATCTCATCCACGTTGTCATGGTGATTTGCGGGATGCTGTTTGGTATGACGAGTGGAGGTATGTATTCATGACTCCATGCCCTCCTCACTAGTTTCGGTGTTTTTTGTTTGTTGATTTTTCGATTTTGTTATGTAGTAGTTATTAAAGAATATATTTTATCCATTTTAACTTGGCATTGATATAACAATTCTGTATTTATCATGTCTATACTTCTACTACTACTACTACTACTACTACTACAACTACTACTACTACTACTACTGCTACTACTACTACTACTACTAATACAACTAATAATAATTATATTATTATTACTACTACTACTGCTACTGCTACTACTACTACCACTACTACTACTACTACTGCTGCTGCTGCTGCTGCTACTACTACTACTACTAATACTACTACACTACTAATACTAATACTACTATTTCTACTACTACTATTACTACTACTTCTACTATTACTAATAATTATGATAATGATGATGATAATGAAAATAACGTTACCATTTTAGTAGGATACAACATAAATAAAAAAAGAAGATCGAAGCTAGTATATTTACAAGCACTGTCTGTTGTAGGCTGTGTGATTTAAAATGAAATAGATATATTAGGGCTTCGCGTTTAAAGGACAATATAGTGTTACTCCGGTCGACAATTTTATGTGAATTTCATTTTTATTTGGTTAATCTGGATTGTTTCATGTCAAAATGAGAATAGATAGCATTAAAATTAAAGGGTAACTTAAGGAAGACGGGATGATGAAGTCGATACCCCCTCTCTATTGCTTTCAACATTTTTCTGTCGGCATTTTTTAAAATTCAAAATAAAATGTGTATTTTTTCTCAAATGACAAAAACTGGTTGTCCCTTATTCACATGATTACGAATGCAAGCGAGGTCACCAGATAGTGGCGGTTCTGGCCTCCCCCCCCCCCCCCCCCCCCACCCAAAAAAAAGGGAGCGGCACATGTACAAAATGAATGCAAGAATCCGAAGACCCCCTTCCCCAAAAGAAATCACCTCCCCCCTTATTATCCTACCTACGTTTACATATATATATTTTTGTTTTACCCTGGATATCTTTTTCCGTTTGATTATCAGAGTGTGATTCTGGGATGCACGAGATAGCAGGGTCATGTTACTCCTTTGACAACTCCATACAGAAGACAGCGTACGGAGCTGAGATGGAGTGCCCGGTCATCGGTGCCGGTCGCTATCTAGCTTCGTTTGGTTCTCAGTCGGAGTTGGATACAGTTTATAATTACTTTAGTACACGGGTTGGTGTAACTTCAGCACTGGCTATATGGGCTAAGAACGCATTTAACGGAGTACCTTCGGTAACAAAATATACCTTTTATAATAATTAACTTTAACAATTACTCCGCAATTACTATACTTTTTTTACAGTGAATGATGAAACGTTTAAACCTATTCCTTATCAGGTAATTAACTTTCACGTATGCTTTACCGTTTATGATTTTACTAATGGACGAGATTATTTATACTGTTATTTATAAGTTTATCAATGAATGGTGTTGCAAAATATGAATTCTATTTTGTATTTGGAGAAAAAAGAATTCTATGGAAAATAAAAGTGAACGTGAACTTGAATATTATTTCAGAGCGATTGCGAAATCATCGTCTATGGCTCAATGCTTCAAAGTGAGGACTGCTCGATATCACATCGATTCTTATGCGAGGCCGATATGGGTGAGCCCTTAAATATTATATATTATGCCAGTATACCCCCCCCCCCTCCCTCCATCCCCTCCACCACGAACACGCACACCCAACCACACTCACACACACACGTTTTGTAAAGTTTCAGCGACAATTGCTCCACAATCAATTTTTCCTATCCTAACTGAATGCCTGAACTAGTAGGGGTGCTATGGGGCTGTTCCCCTTGGAGTTTAAAGTTTTGATTTTCCGGGCAACCGCCACCTAAAATACGGGCAGCAAGGTGCCTGAATAGCCTTATACTAGTCATGGGAATTTAGGTAGGAGGTGCCCGAATATGTATTTTTTTCTTCATTTTCCACAGTTGTCTAATATCTCGTTTATTTGTAGAGGTATCCACAACTGCAGTCACCGAAGCCATGACCACTTACCAAATGTCGAGCACTTCATCAACATTGATTGCCCCGACGACTGCAGTGGCTGTAGTTACAACAGAACCTCTTACCACTACGAGCCAATATACTACCACATCATCCACCACACCGGCAACATCTGGGACTACGATATCAACTTCCACTAATCCTACAACAATCTTTAGCACCTCCCCCAGTTCATCAACATTGATTGCCCCGACGACTGCAATCGCTGTGGTTACAACAGAACCTCATACCACTACACGCCAATATACTACCACATCATCTACCACACCGGCAACATCTGTGACCACTACATCAACTTCCACTGATCCTACAACAATCGTGAGCACCTCTCAAAGTTCATTGACTACACGGTCTAACTCAATAGCTACAAACCCTCAGACGTCTGCTGTGACTACAGAAAGTCCTCCAACTACCAGCCAACGCATACCTACCACTCCAACATTGACGTCATCTATGACGTCATCAACATCTGCAACAGCAACAACCAGAAACAGAGAGTACTCGTTTACATTAGCCAGTGCTGGCCGGTCACTGAAGGAACCCAGTTTGATAAGAACCCTTGACAAGATTCGAACTCCATTACACTGCGCCGTCAAGTGCGGTTCATTGGAGGGGTGTCACGTGTTCACCTACTCATCAGCAAATCAGAAGTGTTATCTAGGGGCTGCAGGGGGTATGGACAATTTACAGAATAACATGGAATGTAACACGTACAAAATGACTGAGCATATTTTATGATTGTACTTTTTCTAGATATCGATGAAATGGTTTATATTGGATGGCGCTCATTTCTCTGATAATATCAATCCCAATTTTATTATTATTCTATGTATCTCTAGAAAATGGCTTATTGCTTATAAATAGTCTGTCAGTGTGGTCGCTATAACCATGTGGACAGCGAACAACGAATGTAGATTAATGTTTCACTGTCCAGACGTTGTGAGATGCATGAAGAAGGCTCTTTGGAATCTCACATTACTATGAACGGTGTCAAGTACTCCTTAGAACACTGTCGCTCATATAGGTGCGGCCATGCATTATGGCTCAAGGCATGGGCACACAGAAGATTTTTTTTTCTGTTGGGGACCGGGGGGATTCAATGAATTATTGATAGTTTATTGCATTTTCCTTCTTTTTGTTTCTTTTTTTTTGTGGGAACTGTCCCCAACCCAGCTCCCGCTGCGTATAGTCATGGTTCAGTGGCAAAGCAATGGCCTTGCAACTATGAGGCCCCATGATCAAAACCGTGTCGATGTGCTGTATTAGTGCCCTTTTGTGGGGCATTAATCCTCATTACTGTCATTTATGACTTAAGGGCGTAGGTCCCCTAGTTGATAAGCATAGTAGCATACACATAAACAAACACTGGCAAATTATTATTCAATAAAATCTGCGAATGTATACTATTATCTAGATCTAGATCAATAAATCATTGTCAAAATAATTCCATAAATTGGGGTAAAAAGAAAATATTCCAACTATATGAGAGACAGTCTACAAAAAGGTCCAACGTTTTATTAATGTACTGAGAAAATGCTTGCATTGTTGTATTCCTTTGTTGGTAAATTCATGTACATGTCTTTTTAATCATATGATTGTAGTATGTGTCAAATCAGTCATAAAACTGCGATTATGCAAGAGTTTAATCAAACCTTTCAATCAAACAGTGACACATCGTGCACGTACTTAACCGGATTGTAGTTGGGCTTACAAGGCCTAACAGTGCGTAAAGATTTTATTGTGGTTATGCCTTGGTGGTGTTTTCGGGGGACAGCAACCGTGGGTGAAAATCAATCGATAAGGTCCGCCCAGACGCACCACGCAAGGGAGCATGATCGGCTGCCACACCGCGGAATATTCCCTGACGCGGTATGTAGAGGGCATATTGTATCGGGGGGGGGGGGCATACAGCCCCGCGTGCTTAAGACCCTTTGCATATCGTATTGATCCCCCGGGCTTTAAGCGGGGAGGGGGTTTACTCCGGCTTCATCATCTGCTGGATACGCCATTGTCAGTCGCGGTTCTAGAAGAAGAAGGGGGGGGGGGCTTGGAGATTCTTGCGTACATATTCGATAATAATTTTTGTGTCTCGCGTTAATTCTATTAGAATCAAGATTTTTGTATTATTATTATTAAGAGCCCCCATCCCCTTCCCCTCTCCCAAACCGCTGATATCATCGTTATGCACAATTATCAGTCATGTACAATTCCCGGCCCCCCCCCCCCCACTCAGTGTTATTTAGGGTACGCATATGCGTGTTCCAACCGACCCCCCCCCCCTTTTCAGCAAAAGTCCGGTGTGTAAAGTCAATACGGCTCGACCTTTTTCTTTTGTATACGAGCCTTTTTCAGCACCCCCCCCCCCCCCCCCCCCCTTTTCAGCAAAAGTCCGGTGTGTAAAGTCAATACGGGTCGACATTTTTCGTTTGTTACGAAAAGGACATTTTGGCAACACGCATGCGGTCATTTCGAAACCTGAGTGGGGGGGCCGGGGTACAATTCCGATAGTCGAACACGATTTGTTAATTAGTCTCAGAACATCATCCAGTTACTGTGCCACCTTTCCTGTTTACTCTTGTTAAAATGAAGGAACAAAGAATAATGACGTCATTCAAAGACATCTTGATCACCGAGGGAATTGGAATTTAACTCGGTGATGATGGCGATTCTTTTTTGTGTTTTATTTTGTAATACAAACTGTAATGAAAAATCCAATGGTGTGTTCTTGTTTTGCTTTATTTATTGTTTGACAATTGAACCTTTTTGTATCAGTGTATCATGTAGGAAATATTTATTTAACTTTTTAATTTCATGACTGTTAACAAGAGTCATTTTAGAGTTTTATCTTTAAATCATGAATGATGAATAACATCTAAGGACGAAGATCCCATATTATATTTATACTTGGCTTGAAAGTGTTATACTAAGTGGTGCGTATAAGGGAACGGCAAATCGAAGAGATATAGAGAGACAGAGAGAGAGAGAAAGAGAGAGAGAGAGAGAGAGAGAGAGAGGTTGAAAGATATAGACCTATAAGTAAATTGAAATCAAACATTTAGATAACAAAAAGAGGGGGGATGAGCAAACGATAATTGTTTGAGCTCTTTTTTTTTAATGGAGATGTTGTGAGTGTTGGGAAACTGAAAGATATAGACCAATAAGTAAATTTAAATCAAACATTTAGGTAAAAAAGAGGGGGAAGAAAATGAGCAAACAATAATCGTTTGATAGTTTGAACATATTTGTGGCTTACACCCAGTAAATAAGATCGATTGATCAAAAAAATAATTGTTTGAGCTCTTGTTTTAAATGGAGATGTTGTGAGTGTTGGGAAACTCAATCTGGCATAATCCAAAAGAAAAGTGATTGAGAAAAATTAGGCCGATAAACGACGGAAAAGGGAAGGGGAGGGTATAGAGAAGGAGAAGAAAGAGGGAGAGATAGAATGAAGGGAGAAGGAAAAGAAAAGAAAGAGAGAGAGATGGGGGAGGTGGATGGTATGGGTGAAAGAAAACAAAAAAGAGAGAGAAAAAGAGATTCAGACAATACTCTGTACTGTCATATCCAGAAGCCAAATTGCTTCAGCGTGTTTTGCACTAATGTCGATATTGATATGACAGTAATACAATTGATTTGATTGGTACTAATTATAAAAACTTCAATCATGCTGACGAGAATTAATATATTACACTTTACTCCCGTTTCTCCTAATTCATTTTCAAGTAATAAGGGAGAAATAATTTCAGGAAGCAGCGAAGGCTATGTCTTGATTAATTTCCTGGTGAAAATGATTAACTTTCTTCCGCAAAATATACATTGCCTTGTATCAAATCAACTTGAGGAGATCAAGGCTGGATTGGATTGGGGCAAAGTGCAAGTGCCCCGGCTAAACCAAAGTTTAAATACCTTTATTAGTGTCCCCCGCCCCCACCCGACCAATTTGAGAACTATTATGTTATGATTTTGTTCGAATTTTTGATGATGTGTTTGTTCATATAATTTTTTTCAAATCATAAGTTGCATATTACACAAGATTAAAACCTCTAAATTCCTTTACCATCTACAGGTTTACAACTTCACATACATGACACAAGGAACGTGTGCAGTGAAGATGCAAGCAAATTCCCCACCGAAGGGCAATTAATTTTTGATGGTATTTGACCAATTGTTTCGACAATAGTTCATTGCTTCATCTAAACCACGTCATACTGAGACGGAGTGATAATTGAACTTGAAAGATGTCATTTCACCTTCGAGTATTGCAGGTTATAAGGAATGATAAACGCCATCAACGGTTTTGCCTTGTTCATCTCCAACGCGATGAAATGTGCAGACAACTGAACATTTTTTTTAAAAGGATCATCTTGGTTTTTGATTACGCATCATGACTTGGATTTAGAAAGAGTTGGATGAGAACATAATTCAACATGGGATCGTTATATTGTGCTAATGTTGTCGTGGTGATAACTCTGATAAGTTATATGCTGTTCGGCATCGCGAGTGGAGGTATGTACAGTATACAATTAAAAACTAACAAAATGTTTATTATTAGCGAAATTACAGTCACTTTTGTTTTCAAATTCGAATTTTGTAACTGGCAGTGTTTTAACCATTCCATATGCGTTGTGTAAAAAATGAGAGCTTCAATTTCACCCATGTATACAGAGGAAAACACAGTCTTTTGATCTGAAATGTTGCACATATTTTCATACTCATTTCGCTGCTACAGATTAATTTTGAGATAAGGTTTTGAAGGGCTTAATAATAATAATAGTTCGTTCTTATATAGCGCTTTACAGACTGATATCATTATCATTACCCCGGTCATCGGATTCAGGCTTACCCGCACACAATGTATGTACATTCTCCACTCCCTGGGGAGCATTCCAGCCAGGCGTCATTTTTACAAGCGCACATTTGCTTATCTAACCACACTAACTTTCGCATCCTACCGGGTACACCTAGGTGGAGGGTGGCAAATGTAGATCAATGTCTTGCCAAAGGACATTAGTGCCGCGGCGGGACTTGAACCGCAGAACTTGTGATTATACGGTCCGGTGACATATCCACTCGATAGGGGCTTTAACCAAAAATTACAAATTCCTTTGACATTATCCAGATCGAAAGAGGGAATTTGTTCGATTTTCTCTTCGGGATGTGAGAGGGTGTAGAAGCTTAAAATCGAGAACAATAATGATCTTAAGAACCCTGCCTTTTCAAACTAGTTTCACCTTTTTCCTTTACCCTTTTTCTTCAAGAAGGATGAATCTATTGAATGATATTTTTGATTTTCCAGATTGCCAGT